ACAAAATATGCATTATATTACAAAACATAAATTCTTAAGGTGGTAAATTTCAGGATTAACTCAGTATTATAAGGATTTCTTCAGTAACAGGGTTTTACCTTTCCATCCAGCCACCCATTGGTGTGATGGTTTTGTCCTTAGGTCTGTCTCTCCTCTTTGTAAGTTGGCTTTTGTAACTCAAGGTATCAGGTCCTCACTCAACAACATCTATATGTAAGAGGAGAGTTTCTTCTCTTGCATCTCTTTTTATCAGGTTAGAAAATATTTTTTCAGAAGCCCCCTTCAGAGCTGAATTCTTATATCTAAATAATTACTAGAGAAAAGAGAGAGGATCACCATGATTAATTTAGAATAATGATGAATCTGAGGAAGTTCTTACCTTCTCTGAACACATTTTTTTCCCTCCTAAACAAGACTAAACTCAGGATTGTCTTAGCAAAAACAAACAAACAAACAAATAAATAAATAAAACATCAATGGTGTCTACTATGCCCAGATATAAGACTTGTGTTTTCTATTCAAGATTAAATATTTGGGATGATGACTATCTGAGCAAATGTTATCTTGCCTTTAATCATTTATATTTTATCTTTGGATAAATTCTGGCACTAAGTTATAGTTGAGAACTGCAAAAAAATTAGTGATTCAAGAATGGGGCAAATAGATTTTTTTGCAGACTTGTCCACAAATAATGTTAACATAGAAACACAGTATTGGGTCAAGGGCTAAGGTGTTTCCTCTACCTTTACCTTTAAAACTTCCATGAAGTTTGGCAAGTGTACCATCTGGTTTATATGATAAACTGAAATAGACTTCATTGGGAAACTGTTATGTTACCTGCCCCTACTTCTTAATAATCACATAGAATAAATCCCTTATTCTAGTACTTTTTTGTTTATTGACATACTGTGGTTAGCTTCAATACTGACAACTGCTTCATTAATACTGAGACTAGGGGGCTTAAAAACATTTATTTCTCACAGTTCTGGAGCCTGGAAAGTCTAAAATTAGGGGGCTTAAGACACAGGTAGATTCAGGGTCTTGTAGGGGCCTGCTTCCTGGTTCATAGGCAGCTCTCCTCTTCCTCTAGTCTTCAGGATAAGTGCACTAATCCTATTATAGAGATTCCACCCCCACAATTTTATCCAAACCTCATTATCTCTCAGTGTCCTCCCTTCCCAGTTCCATCCATCACATTGGGAATTAGGCTTCAATGTACAAATTAGGGATGAAGAAAGGAGAGAACAAATATTCAATCTATAACAACAACTAATAATTTTCTTTTAAAAAAATCCCTTAATATTATATAAACTTAAAGGACAAAGAGCTCAGCATCCTCTCTTGATATACATTCAATTCTGTGCCATTACAGAAACCAATTTGAACATTTGGTCACTTTGTAGCTTTCTTCAATGGGATGCATATTCCCAAGGGTAATTTCACAGTGAACATTAAATAGTGATGATATGATATGAGTCAGTACATACACTCACACTCAGGATTTTAAAAGTGTTAAAGCATAATTTATTTACAATGGAAAAACATTTCTGAAGCAAAAGGTAGAAATTCACTTATTTTCCTTTCTTGATCCATATTCTAATTTGAGACAGCATGGCTCTGTGACTCACTGGGCTTAATCCCCCTGTTTATGACATATTTCAATGCCCACACATTTTTAGTTCTCATGACTTTATTTTGTTCATATGTTTGAATCAATTATGTTACCTATTCATCAGTGTATTAGACAAGTGTGTACCACTTTATCCTTCAGTGTCTCTCATTATAAGATTTTTGGCCCCCTACCTCAGCTGCTTGGTGGAATTTAAATCACAAAATGGAGCAGAAAGGAAGAAATCAGGATGCATGCATTTTATGAGAAAGATTATTCATTAGAGGAGATCTGAAAAAAATATATGACAACAATGAGAACAAAGATACAACAATGGCTGTCTTAGTGGGTGGTTCCCTTGAGGAAAAGGCCTTCATAACCACAGAGATGTAATGGAGAAAAAGAAACCATACAAAGGTTAGCCAACGTAGTTAGCATTTGCTGGACAGATCCTGCTTTTCCCCAGTTTGAATTGGTAATTTTAAAAATTTAAAACATTGAACAAATAAAACTTTCTTTTAAATATTTATGTCAGGACTTATGACCTATCTCTTAATATTTCCTGCTGAAATAAACCAAATTAACAATAACAAAAAAAGGCATAACAGTTTTTAGATTCATTCAACCACTTACCAGCATATTCTCATTATATAAATAAAAAATACCTTGAATAGAATATGTTTAAAGTAGATGAAATGTTCTCTAGGAGTAAAGACCCACTAAGAATCAAGCACTGTGCTAGGCAACTTCCTTTCATTAACTCATGTGGTCTTCCCAACAGTCTTGAGATACCTCCTTTATGTTCATTTTACATGTGAATGAATTTAAGCTCACAGAGGCTAAGTAAATCACAGTTTTCAAATAGGGAACTAGGACTTGAACCCACTTTTCTCTCATTCGAAAGGGTGTCTAAGTTATTCTCTATAATGTTTTTAAAGGGCTACATGAGGTTTAGTATAGTAATTTTTAAGGTATAGTAATATGAGGAGATTATATGCAGCTACTAAAGAACATAATTTAGAAGAGTAATAACTTAGGTAAGTATTTAAGGCATCAAATGATAGGTTAATTTATAAAACAATATATAAAGTATAATTCGTTTTATTTACATTTACATAAATCTATGAAAAATATAAATATACATGTTAAAATGTTAATGATGACTACCTAGGTTGAATTATTATGGAAGATTTTAATTTTTTCCTCAATTTTTCTGAAGTTCCCATTTATACAATAAACATATGTCACTTTGTGGTCTAAATAAATAATTAAAAATATTAAGATTGCAAATTAAAAAAATGTTTTCCAATTTAAAATCAACAAATCACACAAGGAATCAAATCCTTTGGCATTTTTTCAGCTCACCTTTTCCAACCTTTTTCTAGTTTGGACTATATGTTATAATATACATATTTTCATTTTTTAGCTCAATTATTGTGTCCATGACTTGTATAAGATTTCCAAATTAACCACGAAGAACACTCATTCATTCCTTAAAAATGTTTGAAGCTGCCTGACATAAAGGCAACAGGAGGAATGAGCTGAGGTCTCTTTTCTCTAAGAAAACTGACAGTCTAATTTTTTAAAAAAGATAATTATAGGTATTGTTCTGCTAATCATTATACCCTTTGAGGCAGTCTGCAAACACTGTGCTTCTTGCTTGTACTTAAGACTTTTCCCCCTTGTATCACTATTGTTGGGATTGTAAAACATCTCAAAAATTGGTGGGTACATTCCATGTAATGGTACTAGAGTCCCTCCAAAAACACTGGTTTTAAATTAAAAAATATTTTAAATATGCCATAGATACCATGTATTCTATTCATATTCCACGAACTAGAAACATAAATATATTTCTCCATATCCCAAAGCAGCTGCAATTCTAGATTCCATGTCCACATTCCTAATAGGAAATTGAAACTGGAGAATTGGAGGGCAGACTTCCAAAGTACAGAGCAGAGTCTCATACCTTGACCTCTTATCAGTCAGTCTCTAACCTCCCCCTTGCCTCACACAGACAGTGGGGTCAAGCTGGAGGGGAAATTGCCTCTCTCTTCTTCTACAATATCTTTCCCTCCTTGTCATTCTTTAAATCAATTTTTTGTTATTTTATTTTCTTCATTAGATTCCCCATACGAGTGAAATTATGTGATATTTGACTTTTTCTGACTGGCTTATTTCTCTTAGTATAATGCTTTCCAGGTCCATCCATGTTGTCACAAAGGGTAAGATTTTCTTCTTTTTTACAGCTGAGTAGTGTTCCATTGTGTAATAGACCATAACTTTTGCATCCATTAATCAACTGATGGGCACTTGGGCTGCTTCTGAATCTTGACAATTGTAAATAATGCTGCAATGAACATAGGGGTTCATATATTCTTTTGAATTAGTGTTTTGGGTGTCTTCAAATATATTCCCAGAAGTGGAATTGCAGTTCTATTTTCAGTTTTTGAGGTAACTCCATACTGTTTTCCACAGTGGCTGCGAATGAAATTTTGTCCATTGGCTTTTTAAGAGGGTGCCTGTTTCTCTAGCCAATCCTCCTGGACAGATTGAAACCTCTGTGTTTTTCACAGCTAGATGTAATGTGGGTACCTCCTCCCGACTCTGGTGCTCTGGGCTGGGGAGCCCAGCTTGAGGTTTGGACCCCACGCCCCTTGTGGGCAACCACATGCATCTGAGTTATCCTTCCACCCATGGGAGTGAGGCCAACCCTTTTCACGTCTCTGCCCTTCCTACCAGTCTTACTGCAGCTATTTCTGTAAATTTTTGGTTATAAGACTTCTCTTTGACTAGTCTTCATTTGGTTATTCAGGATGATTGTTCTATAATTTAGTTGTAATCTAGTGTGGTACTGGGAAGAGGCAAGTGCAGCTTCCACCTACTCTGCTGCCATCTTAGATTTCTCTCTAAATCAATTTTTAACTGTAATATGTAAAAATTATGTTTTCGTGTTTAGTTATGCATTATGTTTTGCCCTCTCTTCCTTGCCACAGCCCCCTTCCTCAACCCCAGTTAAGATTACCCTGGACACCTGGGCTAGATCTCAACATTTGGCAAAACATGGCAGCAATAAACTAAGAACTCATTCTATTTAAATAACCAATGGATTCAGAGCCTTTCATTTTTTCACTGTAGGAATAGAATCAGGGAAGCCTTCTCCTCTCAGCTCTACATTCTATGTTTCAGGGATCAGATGTGGAGACTAGTTGTAATATTATTCAGGTACCTTGTCTAGTATCTAGTCCAGAATCTTTGAGGACTTGCTACCTTAGTGAGGTGTTCAGTCTGACATCCCTCTAGGGTTTGTTTCTGTTCCTTATTGGTGGCTGTTGATTTGACCATCACCAGAAATCAACTTGGTTACTGGGCGACTTTTAAATCCTTCCAGCACTGTGTTTTCAAGAGTGGTGCTTCGAGGTGTATCTTCCAACAGACTCTGGATGGAAACAGAGCTCACTTGCTTGGACTCTTCTACATCTCAGGTAGGGACAGAAGCATAAAGGTGATCATGAAGCACTGGTAAGCACAAGCTTTGCATATTGCAGTAGGGAGATGAGGAAACCTGTCTATTTGTTTTAGATTCTTCTCCTTAAAAGGCCAGTGTATTTATAAACAAAGATTACAAAGAGTATATGCAGTTTTTCCCTAAGAAACACCCTTAATTATGACTACCTTCATAACTATTATGAAGTAGATATCTTTTATACAGCTTATTCTCTATTAGTTCATTTAGTCCTCACAACTGTATGAGTTAAGTACTGTTATTATCACCTTCTCCATTTTGTAGATGAGAAAACGGGATCAGGATTCCTAGCCTAGGGCTAGACAGCTAATAAATGGTGTTGTCAGATTTGGAATTTAGGCAATGAGGCTCCATTGCCTTATACTGACTTTGGTTAGCTAAGATATGTTTCTAGTAAGCTGCAATACTGATGGGCCTGTTTTTTAACAGCAGCAGCACTGAACCAAACATGTTGTTAAACCACAGATGTCATCTGGGGAGAGGATACTGAGTTGAAAGGCAGAGAGGTCTGCCTTTGCTAAAGGCTCATGCAAAATGCACCCATCACTTGAAAGTCATAGGCAAAGAGAAAGTTGTGTCATTCAGGAGATTGTCAGCTAAGTCTCTGGGTTTGAATAAAACCATCAAAATTTGAAGTAAGACCACCCAAAATCAAGCCCGAGGTGGCCATGTCTTTCAGATTATGCTAATAGACTTGGACTGAGATTATAAACTTTCTGCAAATGCCAGGCATCAGACCAGTGTTTAACATTTTGCCCTACCATTTATTAGCTGGGTGACTTTATTTATTTAGTTTTTCTAATTTGCTTTAAATGTTAGTCTTATGTAACTATACTGCTTAAAATCCTTCAATCTCTCCTAATTGCTTGGTGAGTAAAATCTAAACTCTTGAACATGGCTGACAAGTACATGCAAAATCTTGTCCTTGCCTCTTCCCAAGAGAGGTTATTTCAGACCATGTTCAAGCAGAGTCTGCCACTTTCTTCTTTGTACAATACTCCATTTTCAGTCCATACCCAGTGCCTAGCTCAGTGTCAAATATGTAACAGATTTTTAATTAATGTTTACCAAAATAAAATGACATGAAGATTAGGAACAGACTTGGAAATGGTTTTCACGTGGGGAGTGGGAAGAGAAAGCAGAGCCAGGAAAAAAGTGAGAAATGGTGATAAAACAAAGAGAGAATAGCTATTAAAATTACAGAAGACAATGATAGGCATTGGAATAATTAAAGAAGAAAGACAAAGGTGCTGAGTAATGAAATCAGTTTGTTTTTGGTTTTCAAAGAAGAGGAGAAACTTAAATATAGCAGAAGAATCAAAGAAGAAGAAGACAGAAAAGATATTTCCTTTGGGTCATTAGGAATTCATTAGTAACTTTTGAGAGAAGAGTTTTAAGAAATTAGTGGGTGGGAGGGAGAAGCCATTTGATAAATATTGAGAAATGTATGGCAAGAGGCTGAGGCAAGAAGTACTTTTGAGAATTTTTTTCTCTTTCATTTATTTTCTTTATTTTTTTCATTTTTTTAATTTAATTTTAATTTATTTTTTCAAATACATTTGTCTCTATCTCCCCCCCCCCCCCGCCACCACTTTCCTTAAGGAAGAGCAATATCATGGAGTTCATGTGAGAAGTTGGAGGGTAGAAGAGAGGTGAATGGTGTCCTCAAATAAGGAATACTAAAACCATCACCCTTTCCACTTAATTTGGGAAAGTTAAGAAATGTGGTGATATAATGACATATTACACATTCCTTTCCACATGAACTACTTCTGAATCTTGGAGAGATTGTTAAGGTAAATGTTGGGTGTGGAAGGAACTGGATGTAGATTTTAAAAAAAGCTCAGCCTAAAAAAAAGTTTTATGTGAGCCAAACTGATGACACTTTTTTGGGAAGCAAAATCTCAATCAATTGAGAAAATGCTTCTGAGAATGACAGTTTTGCAGCTTATTTTCTTTCTTTTTCTTTCTTTCTTTCTTTCTTTCTTTCTTTCTTTCTTTCTTTCTTTCTTTCTTTCTTTCTTTCTTTCTTTCTTTCTTTCTTTCTTTCTCTCTTTCTAACTTTTTTTAGAATTGAAGGAAGAAGAGTTAGGGTGGTTATATCAAATCCAATGGTAGTAGATTAGGGAGGCAGGAGAAAGCAAAGTGGGGAAATCTCTAAGAGTGGATTAAAAGTAAAATGGAGACACATCTTTTACAGGGGTGGGTACAGGATAGTAAACATTTACGGTATATCAAGATGGCTTGTGGACAACAAGACAACAGTGTGATCTGTGCTCTGATGCCAGTGGTTGTGCCTTGGAGGGGTCTGGAAAAGAAGATTACTCTCACATTTCAAAGATATCTTATCTTAGATGCACAAAGACAATAGACAATTTCAAAAGTAAAGATTGACCTTTGTCAAGGAAACTACTGGCCTAGGACATGACTACCCACCATGACCTGCTTTTAGTTAGGAATTTCTATGTTCAGATCGCCCCATGTGGTTACTTTAGGTCTCTGAGTTTGTAAGACCACCATGTGGGCCTCCCCTGAACTTGTCAGGTTTACTATGTGGTCCCTTTTTCATCTATATGGGTCTGCCTGGGGAAAAGTGATATATACACAGACACATGTCGAACACAGAGAGAAACCTTAGTATATAAGTTAGTTACTTTTTCAATTTTTCAAGGTATTTGTGCAGATTGTTAAAGTAATGCACATTCATTATCTTATAATATGGTCTTATGGAAAGAAGAAAAAATCACATTTAATTCTTCTGCCCAGAGAAAACTATAAGCATATCCACACTATGTGTGTATGTATACAATAAATATGCCTATTGCATAAATTTCAGCATCCTAATTCAAAGTTTTAAAGATTAGATAGGAGTGTAGTGGGTATTTCTTTTTTATTGTGGAGTACATTTGCTGTTAAACAGGTTAGAACTGCTTATAACTGTATTTCCCCCTGCCGTGGAAGCTCTCAACGTATTTCTATATTTAATGATTATGCTGTTTGAATGTAGTGTAACAACACTGAGGAATTTATGATAAAGGTTTCTGAATAGCAAGCTAGGGGTGGAGGCTTAAAGATCCCAAAAGAGATGCTCAATCAATAATATGTTGTAAAAATTCTACAGAATAAATAATTCAGGTTTTCCTCTTCTACCAAAACAAACCATCTCAGCAGTACTTGGTGGACCTTTGATATACTGAATGCTACCCTCCATGATGCCATAGCTGATTTATAACCAGGCCAAAGACTTTTGGATGTGATTATAACAGGAGTGTCCTAAAACCTGGGAGAGGCTGTTCTTATGGTCCTTGGAACTGGCACAGGAAGTGAAGCTGCTGGGACAAAAGCTGTTGCCATTTCTTGCCATATTTCTAGTTGACTGCTACAGGAAAACTTGGACTCTGACCTTAAAGAGTCTCAACAGGTTAGAAGAAGAAAAAAAGCAATGCTGTTACATTTTGTTGGTGTCTCATGAAAATTATAGCTTCAAGGCATCACCTTTTAGTGTTGTTTTGAGACCTCCATGTCACCCACAGGGGAGATGACACTGGCCTGACTTCTAATGCTGGCTACACTTGGATACTGTTTTTCTCTGCCTTTTACAATGTTCTTTACATGACATGCCAGAAAAATAATAATTCTGTGAACCTTTTTACCCCTGATAAGTGCTTGCACAATGAATTTAATTAAATTCCCCTTTATCTCTTATGCTGAAAACAAGGAATTAACAATATCCATTAAAATAACTATTACATTCACATCAAATGGATTTCAACACATGACTAAAGTGATATGAAGGAAGTCATAATCATGTGAGGCCCAATATGGTGTATAAATTTTCAACCTTTTGAAACCCCAAGTTATTTTAATCTCCAAATGTAATTATCATAAATGTCAGTCAAACTTTTTTGAGGCTTCTTTCTGTTGAACAAAAAAAAAAGAAAAGAAAAGAAAAAAATACAACAAAAAACAAATGAGACTGTGAAGTCTTCAAGCTTTACAAACTTGCAATTAACTCTTCCAAGACCAGTGGGCTCTCAGGCTCAGAAGAAAGAAGGCATTTCTAAGTGTGTCATGTAGTCTGAAATATGTATAGTTTGCAGAAGCAATGACCAATTCTGATCAATGGGTTATAGCATTCCTTGAATTGGAATTGGTTGGCTGATGATGCCACTAAGTTTTTAACAATAGATACAGATTCTGATTTTTGCTACACATTTATAAAAATGACTATCTAATAATCGCTATATGATAATATCCATTTTTCTGTAATAGATAAAGTTGTCCCTCTCCTAGGCACCTTCAACAAGTAGCATTCCAGAACCACATTTCTGGAGACAAAAAGTAAATAAAGGTAGTGATCATCTCACCTGTAATATCAAGGGGCATATTTATCAAAACTAAATGCTATTTCTCAGGTAAAATGTGTCCAACGAAGGTTAAGAAAACATACTTTTTCCTGAAGTTTCAATTGAGGCACTGGATTAAGAGATGATTGTTAACAAAAGAGACACCTTTATTTTAGTTTATTCTTTACTACCATTTCCAGTAATACTTTTTACCCACATTTCACATTCTAAAGCACTCCTAAAAAATAATGTTTCAGGCTCTCCTTCTAAAGGACACATGACCACCTGTTTTGCAGGTCCCATCTCCCTTCTGACAACTGTTACACAGCCCAAATTTCAGTTAGAACGAAAACAAGTAACTCACAAACATGAGCCCAGAAAGTATCCATTAACCTGTTAGATATTTAGAATTAGCCTTCTGTACCAGAAGAGTGGCCTTGTTAAAACCCTCCTCACAACACTTCTACTTCATCACATCAACCTAGAGCTCCATCTTTATTCATTTTTCCTTGATTATTTTTATTGCCTTATCTATTTGCTCCTTGTCCCTTCTCTATTGCTGGTAAGGTCTGAAAGCCTGTCCTATTGAACCTGCTGCTACCCTATTCTTGGC